GGATTTAGTTCAGCCAGTTTACATTTATAGATTTATGATTCTATTTAATACCTAGCTAGTTATTTCTAATTATCAATGTTTTTGTTTTCTTTTTTACTTCTTGCACTGTTAATACTGGATGGTATTACACTGCAATTCCTCTATAAGATTTTCTTTTTCAAAAGACTTCTGAAGCAAAATTCACATGCAACAAACTGCTTAGGTATTAAGCATACAATCTGACATACAATCATATAAATATTTTAGTCAGCAACAAACCATATACAACAGTGGTCCTAACAAATTATACCATATAGTCTACATGTGTAAGCTACAGCATCCAGATTTGTGTAATTACACACTATGACATTTGCACAACACCTAACAATGCATTTCATAGCACAAATCCCCATTAAGCAACACAACTGTATACATGAGTGCAACCTTCACCAAAACACAGTATTCAGTGACTGCTCCCAAATTCTCTTTAGCAGCTTCTCCCCGCTTGTTCTTCCTCACTCCCAAACTCCAAGTAACTACCAAATCAGACATACCTCATTTTATAGTGCTTTCTTTTAACACTTTGCTAATACTACATTTCTTACAAATTGAACTTCGTAGCAATCCATTTTTCTAACAACATATGCTCACTTGAAAGTGTCTTTTGATCACAATTTGGTAATTCTCAAAATTTTTCATATATTTTCATTATTTTTTTAAAAGATTTATTTATGCATACAAGAACTGGGGTATAGGGCAGCTGTGGGGGTGAGAAGATTCACCAGAAACAGAGTGGGAAGTAAAACAGCTAGATCTAGTGAAATATACTCCTGAGGGGAGCAGCGGGTGAGACTCGGAGAGGTCTGCTGACAGAGATCTATTGCACTATGTGGGTCAGCTCCCTGGTCAGGGATCAAACTCATGCTGCAGTAACTGGCAATCACTTGATAGTGCTGTGTCTTTAACCTCTGCGCCACCATTCTATGTATCATGGTGATCTGTTATCAGTGGTCTTTGATATGTCTATATTTATTCTGAAGCACTACTAATAGCACTCACATAAGACAGCCAACTTAATAACTTCACTGTGTGTTCTGATTGCCCCACCAATCAACTGTTCCACATCTCTCTCCTTTCTCCTTCAGGCTTTCCTATTTCCTGAGATACAACATAATCAAAATTAGGCCAGTTAGTAACGCCAAAATGACTTCTAAGTGTTCAAGTGAAAGGAAGAGTCACATGTATCTTACTTTAAATCAAAGTTAAAAATGATTAAACTTAGTAAGACATGAAAGCCAAGAGAGGCCAAAAGCTCCAAAATGTAAACATAAAGGGCAAGTTCTTGAAGAAAATTAAAAGTGCTACTCTAGTGTTTTAGTAGCCTGGACAGAAGATCAAACCAGTCAAAACACATTGCCTAAGCCAAAACCTAATCCAGCACCAAGGCCCTAACTCTCTTCAATCTATAAAGGTTCAGAGAGCCCTTGAAGAAGGTTCAGAAAAAAGTTTAAGGCCAGCAGAGGTTAGTTCACAAGGTTTAAGGAGGGGAAAAAATTCATATTCATAACATAAAAGTACAAAGTGAAAAAGCAAGTGCTAATGTAGAAGAAAAAGCAAGTGCTAATAGTGATCTAGATATCCAGCTGAAGTGGAACCACTAAAAAGATTTTCAATGCAGGTGAAACAACCTTATGGAAAGATGTCTTTAGGATTTTCATTGCTAGAGAAGAGAACGCAACGTCCAACTTCAAAGAACAAACTGACTCTCTTGTGAGGAGCTGATAAAGCTGGTGACTTTTGGTAAAATCCAACTGATTCTTTGCCATTTCAAAAATCCTAGCGCCCTTAGAAATGATGCTAAATCTACTCTGCCTTGCTCTAAATAAACAACAAAGCCTGGATGACAACATAACAGTTTACAATATGGTTTAATGGTTTAGTGTTGTTCAGAGAAAAAAAAAAATTACTTTCAAAATATTACAGCTCATTGACAATGCACGTGGTCATCCAAAAACATGGCTGGAGATGAATGAAGGGATCCATGATGTCTTTATGCTTGCTGACACAACATGCATTCTGAAGCCCAAGGATCAGAGTCATTTCAACTTTCAAGTCTTATTAAAAAACACATTTTACAAGGCTACCGCTACCATATATATGATTCCTCTATTGATCTGGGGAAAATCCACTGAAAACCTTCTATAAAGGATTCACCATTCTAAATGCCATTAAGAACTTTTGTGATTCATGGACCTCCCTGGTGGCGCAGGCAGTTGAGCGCTGCACTGTGAAGCTGTCTGCAGCCTCTGCAGCACAGGTTCAATCCGGGTCGGCCGGCGAGAATCCCACATGGCGAAGCAGGCCTCTCCTGTCTCGCCCGCTGCTCCCCTCAGCAGTGTATTTCATCAGTTTGCCTGATCTGTTACCCTGTCTCTGGTGAACTCACTATCTCTGGTGAATCCTCTCACCCTCCCGCACATCTGGCCTGTACCCTAGTTCTTGTATAAATAAATCTTTAAAAAAAAAAAAAAAAGAACCCTTGTGATTCAGAAGTGGTTAAAATAGTAGAGATTTGGAAAAATGGATTCCAACCCTCATGAATAACTTTGAGGGGTTCAAGATTTCAATGGAAGAAGCAACAATAGATATGTGAAAATAACCAAACTAGTAGAGACGCCTCAATGTGTGAATATATGGCTACAATCTCAGGATAAAACTTCAACAGGATGAGTAGTTGCTTCTATGGATGCCCACAGTATTTTCTTGAGATGGAATTTACTTCTGGTGAAAATGCTATGGACATTGTTGAAGCAACAACAAAGGACCTTAGAATATTACAAAAACTTAGCAGCAGAGTTTCAGAGAACTGACTCCAATTTTGAAATAAATTACACTGTGGGTTAAATGCTAACCAACAGTATTATGTATTATAGAAAATCTATATTCCATTATTACTGCATCAATTACATATTTATTTAAATATGTAATTAAATATTTTGCATGTTCTCTTTATTCCCTCTTTGGAGCCCCAATTCTACATATATGAGATTGTTCTGACTGTATCAAAAAATTTTCTCTGATAAAACTGACAGTTTTTTATTCATCTGTATTCAAATTCACTCACCTTTCTTCTAGTGTTTCCAGTTTGTTGTTAGTCCCAACAACTGAATTTTTCATTTGAAGTATTTTATTTTTTAGATGTCTTATAATTTTTATGACAAGCAGAGTTATTGTGGATAACAGCTCTAAGACTGAACATATTGTCTTCTTTAGGGGGTTTGTTTAGGCAAATAATTACTGATGAATCCTCATCTCTTGGAAGGCTAGTCTACCTCACTATCTTAGTCTTATGAATGGGACATATGATAGTTTGTGAGTCTTTTCTCTTAAGACCTGAATTTCTATAGTCTAAGTTCAATGGTTGGGGTACTGTACAAACTGCCTACATTCAGCCGTTCTAAAACTTCAATACCTCCAAGCACTGCTTTGAAATCACTGTAACAGCTCTGAGCAGTTCACTTCTGATAAACCGTGCAGTCTCAACCTGCACACATGCAACCCACACATTACTCAAAATTCTGAATGAAGTGAATCCTTATAGTGAATTCTGTCCCCAACCCTATGCACAAACCCCTTGGCAATATATTTTGTCAGAATCATTTACCACAAATCCCTAATTCTAAGCAGTTTTAAATTCAAATCTCAGTCTCTTCAGCCTACAAAGACTTTCATTCTGCTTGAGCCTCACTTCCCTATATTATAATAGGATACTCCAAGGCAGAGAACTAAAGTGATCATCAGACTCACTATATGTGTTTCCCTTCCTTCAAGGATCATGATCTTATACTTACACTGCCTGCTCGTCAATTCCAGAGAACAGTTGTCTCACATTTTACTCAGTTTTATAGTTTTTTTGCTTTTGGGAGGAGACGGGAACAGAGGAAAGGCTGCTACCACTTACTCTGTCACAGGCCCACACACTGAGTTTTAAAATATTTTCATTATCAATCATTATATGTATTTTTTTAACTGAAAATAGCAAAGCAGATATACAGACATTCAAGCCCATTTGTTTAATTATTTGGCACATGGTATCTTCACCATCAAAGTAAGAGACTATTGATTTTGCTTTGTGATCATGCTGACAAATTCATCTGTAGATCATTATTATTATATTTGATAAGTACTTCATTATGATTTTTACCTAACTAAACTGCAAGGGATGTGTATGTGTGCACTAAGCTGTACATATACACAATCTCAATGGCTACCTGAAGGAAATAAAAATGCATTTAGTCTTTTACTATGCTTTTATTGACAATATAATTCAATCCTCAGAGAAGCAATTCAGGAAGGAGTTTTTTAAAAAAGAAGTTTGACTTTAGGTAAATAATGTAAAATTTAAGGATATGAAAGTAAGATAATTCAATCATCATCATTATTTCAAGTTTTGGTTCATCAATCACAAAACTAGTATCTAAAATTTAGTCTAAATTTGTTTACAGGCAAACATTTCAAACAATTAACAATATTTACTTAGATATATATAATTTAAGGAAAAAAAACACTATGAATATTAAACCATATTCAATTACCATGCAGATAACATAGAGCAATTTTTAATTCAAAGTATTTAAAATATTGTTACATCAAAAAGGTTGAAAACAAGCACACTGCTGAATTTTTTTTTGGTTCATATTTACTATTTGGCTTCAGTGTAATAAACAAATACTTTAATCTGCTAAACATAAAAACTAAAAACAAAAGTTTTTATAAAAAGGGTAAAAGTGAGGAAACTTAAAACTGAAAGAAAAGGTATTTTTCTAATTTAAAAAACAAACTTAGTTACCTATCTAAGTCACCAATTTCAGGACTTTACTTTGACAAACATACTTTAGCAACATTTTCTCTAAAATGTTTTCAACTTAAAATACCATTCCAGTAAAAGACACTAAATTTTAGTTTTACCATCTTTCCCATAAAATGGTAAATTATGACAGACTATTAAGAGTAATACCTACCTGTAACCACCATGCTGCTCATATTAGAGTTTGGAACACTGCCTGAGAGTAGTTCGTCAGATCCTCTCTATAAAAAACAAAACAAATGAGCATTAAGACATTTTAAAATTTTTAAATATTAACCTGAAAGCATTTCACTTATCTGTAACTTGTCAAATAGTCACTAAAAAGTAAATGTCAAGTGCTACACTATTGGAAATAGTTAAGACTTTTAGTTCCTAAAATAAAAAAATTAACTCCACTCTTAATCTCTTCCCTTTTCCATAGTCAACAGTGTTTCCTTTCTTTCACCAAAATCCAAAAGACAATAGGAAAAATGATTAAGCTTAAGTAATCAAAAGCTTTGAAGAACTCAATATTTTATAAACAAAGTATGCCATGGCAGCTGAACATTTTCCAAAAACATTCTGTGAATTCTCCATCTTCAAAATCCTTTCTAAGTCCAGATAGCTCAGGTCTCTAAAAAACTAGAACTTCATACTGGTGACCTGGACTACTCATTATCATCAATGAATTAAATTAAAGTTCTTATATTTTTGGCTAACAGTCCTTTATCACTATCTTTTGCAAATATTTTCTCCCACTCTATGGCTTGTCTTCTCTTCATATAGTCTTTCACAGCCAGAAGTTTTTAATGAAGTCTGGCTTATCAATTATTTCTGTCAAGGACTGTCTCTCTAGTGTATCTAAAAACATAACATTATGTCCAAAGTCATCTGTTATTTTATAAGAGTTTTAACAGAGTTTTGCATTTTACACTTAGAGCTATGGATTTATTTTGAGTTAAGTTTTTGTGAATGTTGTAATTCATTGATTCATTTTCTGCAGGTGATGGTAAATTATTCCAACAGCATCTAATGAATAGACTATCTTTGCTCCATAGCATTCCCTTGTTCCTTTGTCCAAAAAAAAAAAAAAAAAAAGTGGACTATGGGCCTCTGTTCTGGGATCTTGATTCTATTTGTCTATTCTTTTCACCAATTCAACACTGACTTAATTAGTATACTTCCACAGTCTTTCAGCTGGCCAGCATCAGTTCTCCAACTTCATTTTTCTCCCTCAATATTGTAATGGTTACTCTAGGTCTTTTGTCTCTTGATGAATCATTTTGGTCTTACTAGGATTGTGAAAAGAACTGCACTGAATCTATAGACCCAGTTGGGAAAAACTGACATCTTGATGATATTAAGTTTTTAGTACTGGACTGTACATAGTATGTTTCTTCATTTCATTCAAATCTAATAGTTTGCCTCACACAGATCTTGTACATATTGTTAGATTTACACCTCAAAAATTCATTTTGGGAGGAGAGATGTTAATGTAAATGCTACTGATTTAAATTTCAAATTGTACTTTCTTATCTTTGGTATATAGGAAAGGAACTCATTTTTGTCTATCAATCTTATATCCTCTAACCTTAAAACGATCACCACTTACTAGTACTTCCAGGAGATTTTCTGTTCAATTATATCCAATTTTCTACATGCACTATCATGTCCTTTGTGAACACCAATTTTGTGTCTTACTTATCAATCTGTATATCCTTTTATTCCTTTTCTTGTCCTATTGCATTAGCGAGGTTTTCCACTAGGATGTTGAAAAGAAGTAATGAGAGGGGACATCCTTACCTCACAGCTGATCTTAGTAAGACACTTGAAATTTCTCACAATTAAATGTGATGCTAGCTGTAGTTTTTTGGTAGGTATTCTTTATCAAGTTCCAGAAGTGCCACTCTTTTTCTAGTTTACTGAGCTCTTTTATCATGAATACTTATTGTACTCTGTCAAACGTTTTTTTTTTTTGCTTCTATTGATATGTCATGTGATTTCTCTTTTTTAATGTGTTGCTGTGATGGCAGCAGTTTGTTTTTATGAGAAGTATGTAATACAGGCTCTGCAATTCAGTTTCCATCTACTAGTTATGTAACTTTTTCATTACTTAACTATTCTAAGTCTTAACTTACTCAGTATAAAAAATGGTTAACATCTAAATCACAGTCCTTAGGATTAATCATGGTAACACATGGGCTAGAAAATACCATGAAAGTGCCAGGCCCACATCAGAAGTATTTACTATAATGTTCCCAACTGTGAGCCATGCAGCACAGAGTCTATAGGTAAGTGCTTACTAAATATGTGATTGGTAATTATTAACAACCAAGTTCTCAAACAAACAAAAACACTTTAACTCTTCCAGATTTCAAAAGTATATTAACCTCTTTTCAAATATATATATTTAACAATTCATTCTTTATATGTTTACTTGTGTCTCAAAAGATCCTTCCAGTCTAGTGAATTCACAATTCACAATTCTCTAGGGAACCTTAGGTTTACCTAACTATGAAAAGGAAGACACAATTCAGATGCATGGTATGCAAGGCACTCTCTTCTCTCCTACAATTCATCTTTATGAATGGCAAATGGCAAAGTCTTGTTAATGTTTTAAAACCTTTCCTACTTCTAGTTTTTTTTTTTTTTTGGGGGGTGCTCAAATGACTATACCTGCTAAGAGTAGGTTTAACAGTCTTTATAACTGAGTCAGAAGAATTAATATAAAATTATTTGCAATTTTGAGATTTTTTGAGAAGAATTTCTTTTATCAAAGTAAACTGGTTGATATGAAAAATCTTTATAAAAATAACTGAATGTTTTTATCAGAAATTTACCTTTTTAAAATAAGCAATTATGCCTATCTTTCCACTGAATAAAAAGTTTACCACCATACCCAAAAGAAATGATTCTAATCAATAATGATGTTAACACTGCCATGTTGACTAATGGAACAGCTTAAGTCTCTCAGAATAACTGTTTAAGATATAAAATTGAATTATTTTATTAGTGATTTATGCCTGTTTTTCAGTAATGGTTCTTGAAACAAATTAAACTAGTAGTACTTAAGCTCAGAATAGGAATCTTTAAGAATATTTAATTCATCTGAGAAATGTTAAATGATCTTTGATTCAATTTTAAGAAGTATTAAGATGGGCATTGATAATCCTGTAAGTCTGAACATAGAAGCTTTTCATTCTAATACTAACGTCCACTTCACAAAAAACTAGAATCCCATCCAAAAAAAAGAAAAAAAGGGAAAACACTAATGTAGGAATATGCAATCTATATGTCAAAGAAAGAAAGAAGTGGAAAAATAGAGAACAGAAGGATGAGTACACAAGTAGTGTAAATAACATTTGGCATTCACCCCAGTGATAGAAATTTTTTTTTTACTTCTGTTGGTTACTAAATATTCTACTTAAAAGAATAGTCCAACCCAACTACCTATTATTCTCAAGCAAGAAAAAACTAAAGGATCTGGTTGACAAGAGTTCATGGGCCCTGTCAGGTTTCAGGAATGAGAGGTGGCCAAAATCTTTCTCATCAGGAGAAGAAATAATGAGAAAGACATATGGCAAAGATATGAATAGCAAATTTCCGAGGAAAATTAGAATTCTCAGAGAAGAGAAAGCTTTTATTCATATAGTATTTTTGCTACTCACAAATAATGCTAAGAAGATTAACTGAGGTAGACAAGAGTACTACCTACCTACCAGAGACTGATGAAAGCATCAACTCATTCAACCATTAAAGATGCAGAATACAAAAATAAATAGAATGCAGACTATAGTCACAATGATACAAGAGTTATCAAAAACTGATTGCTTCAGACAATAAACAAATCCCACATGGGAATTACAAAAGGAAAAAAAACCAGTACAATTAAGTATACATTAATAGGCAAGACAGACAAGAACCAAAAAAAAGCTAAGGGACAAACAATAAGCCCATGGGATAAAATAAAACTTGTGCCAGCTAGTAACTTCATAGAGTGGACTAACAGCATTTTCTTAAACCAGCAAGACTTCTGATTATGAGAAAAAACTTATAATATATTTATGCCACCACGTTCTGCATTTTGTTATAGTAGCTTAGTATTAACCCTAAGATATATATGATATATACGTATCAATATTATGAAAGAAATGGCAAATTCTTATTAATTGGGGCAAAAAAAATCCCTAATTATAAAAGACAATCAAAAAAGATTTTCTGATGAAACCAATTTGAAAAGCAGTATTTTAAAAACTTTTAGAATACCTATAGTCTCAGTATTTAAGGAATTTAAAAATTGAAACACAAAAAAACCATAAAAGAAAATACAGATGAATTCTAAAAGTGGTTAGACAACCTCTATAAAAGAAACTGTATCGAGAAAGGGGGTGGGGGGGGAAATTATGAGAAGTTTATTCTCTTAAGAAGTAGTCCTGCCGGTTTAAGAAATGTATCAGTCAGCTTGATGGCACAAAGATTTTCAGTAAAAATAAAAAAGTCCAGAAGAAACAAGGGGAAAAATTGAATGGGTATGACTGGAAACAGAAATAATTTTAAATAAGATGGCAAACCTTTAATCATATTAATAATATCCTAATCATTATTAAATGTAACTTTTACTCATCAAAAGACAGCACAAAGTGGTGACCAGGTAAGTTGCTATCTAGGAGAGGACATTAGCAACACAACAGAGCATCAGCTAACAGTACAAAAGAACTACAAGATCAGTCAAATTCAAAATTTTATTAGGCAAAATACAAATAGCTATCACATGGAATTTCACAAAAGAAGAAACAATGGTCATAAACGTGCTGGGGTGGAAAAATGTAACACCACATTAGTAATTAGGAAAATAGAGAAAAACAGACATTTCACTCCAGACTGACAAAAATTAAATATTTAGTCAAGTGTTGATAATGATCTGAAACAGCAACTACTACAGTATACTACTATTGGTAAGATCAATTACAATGGTATTTTGGAAAATATATTACACCTTGTAAAGTTTAATACACTTTATAAACTGGCAATATATATCCTTACATATGTACTCTCAAAAACCCTTGATATTCATGCACCAATAGGTCAAAAAATCTTCAGAGCAGCAATTTTTTTAAAAGATCTATTTATTTATTTATTTGCTTATTTATTTATTCACCCATTTATTTATATATATATACACACACACATACAAGAACCAGGGTACAGGTCAGAGGCGTGGGAAGGTGAGAGGATTCACCAT